CATTGCTAGAAATTTTGAAAGTTTGCGCAAAAGGCTTAAAAAGTAAATCTTTGTAAAAAAAATTAAGACTAAAACTTTCTCGAATATCTTAAATTCCAGCAAAAGTTTTAAAATATTAAAGCCAAAATCTAATTTTTGAACCTAGTATTTTTATCAATCATAAACTTTCACATAGTTAATTTACTTTTCAAAAACAAGAGAAATAATTTCTGATACAGATTTTATCTATAATAAACATCTTATAGATAACAATAAAATTTGCAATGAAAAGCACCGAAGATACGAGACCAGTCAATAGAACAAAAATAAATGTTGATGACCTGAACGCTGCAATTATGACAGTAGCAGATAAATCGCCATGACGTTTATCGTAGAAGGAAGACATGAAATCAGTAGTAATTCCTATCTGCCATTCTGAAAACAAAAATATTTGTTACTTCCTAAGCAAGGAAAAAATGCTAAATCCTTAAAATTAGTGATCTAAACTCAAAAAATTGTGGCTACGACTTTATATTTAGGTTTAGTGAAGCGCCATACATACTTCTATTGATCTAGATGTTTCCGTACATCAATAAATGCTCTTTTACAACACTTTCAGTAAAGTTTGTCATTTGTAGCTGTTTTACTAAAATTTGTAATTTCCATAAGAGGACGCCATGTCTCGGAATAAAATTTTACTCATTTCGATAAGATATATAAAATAAGCTTTAAAATTGTTCATGAACTACTAAATGTGGGAGTCTTAAGCATATTCAATAGAAACTATTTAATTCAAAAAGAGCTTCATTTGTTTACCTTAACTAGATTCTCATCCTCAAGGTGAAGCATTCGTGTGAACATTTTGTAAATATTTAATATTTCAATATAATATTCTTTTATATAATAAATTTTATACATTTGTCAATATTTTGAGAATATCGAAGAACCAAATATGAACACATAAAATTTTATAAACATAACTTTAAAAGAACGTCTAACTGTGGAATCACCCTTTCGGAACTAGTGTAGTTTTAATTTCCAAAAACCTTTCGGGCACGTTAAAAATTATTTACTGACCAATTAGTAAACAAATCTTAAAATTGAATAAGTGAATTATTCAACGTTTGTGATTCAATAATCACCCAAACTGTGTTTAAATAATTTTTACTAACCATTTAATATACAAACATAGAAATCATTATTTTCGTATAAACTAATACACAAGTCAATCTATCAATAGCAAATCTTAAAAGCCAAACTGAAAAAAAAACTTTAAGCCTATTCTTAAAAAATTTAAAATTCTAATAATTTAGACATATTGAAAAAGAAATAAACTTTACTGCCAGTTCATAGAAAGTTGAACAAGTCATCAAATTAAAGACTTCTCAACTGAGCAAAAATATTTTAAAGTTCGGGTTGAGACTAAAATTTACCAGTATTTGCAAATTAAAAGAGAATGCAAATTGTTTGGAGTTTAAATTTATAAATGTTTACAAGCTAGATAGAGGATTTTTAAAAATTCAAAAGGATTCCTTCAAATAATTTTAAATTTAGATCGAATAACTAAGTTCTAGATGCGACTATCAGCACCTTATTTTTATGCCTCCTAAATTATCAAGATAAAACTTTATAAATTTAATTTATACAAGTTTCTTCACTCTATTTCGAATAATAGAACCTATGTAATATCCACAAACAATTAAATTTAACGATCTCAAATATTTATGGGCCAATAATTTATAACTTTTATAAAAGTATTTTCAGATAATACTTATCAGTTTTAAAAAGTTAAATAGCGTTAAAAAAATTTGCCATTTTAATTTTAATTATACTTAAAATTTAAAGGTAGCCGACTTGCATAATTTTTTTTTTATTTTCAGGAGTTTAAAAAAAAAAAGATAACCTTTATATGAAAATAAGAATCTATGACAGATCAGTTTTGCAAAATTTTAGGTTTTCGAAATAAATTTTAGGACTTTGTGGAACCTCTAAAAATTACGAATTACGCCCTAAAAATGTTTTATAGAATTTATTATGAGTTAACAGCCACCGTTGTGCAGTTTTGACTTAACGCAATTGAAGCAAATTACTTTACTTCCCCCAAAGCAGGAAACTTTAAAATTAAAATCCTCAAAATAAGATTCCACTGCATCAGAAAATTAGATAAGGAAATCAGGCTTAAAAGCATAGCAATCTTAAAGTTAAATAAATTTGAAGTTAATATTCGGTATACCTTATGTTAGATCTGAAGAGGCTTAAAAAGTAGACTCACTACTTTATTATTTTTACATTTATTTTTTGTTAAACTAGTCAGTCTAGACTGATTAAAATATACATAACAAATCAAATACAGCTATAATAAATATACAGCTATAACAAATCAAAAATTACTCATCTATAAGATTAACATAGAATGTAGATCAGTGGTTACCAACTGGCGGTCCGCCAAGCGTTTATTTTGTGGCCCGCGAACTAAAATATTAGTTGTCATTTTCGCGAACAAATTTCGTAAAAATTTAATATGGATTTAAAGTACTTTTCTTCGTTAAAAAACCTTGTTTCTTCGTTTTTGTGAAATTTAACATGCCAATGGTGAGAAAAAAATTTTTTAATCAAAATCTACTTATTTTAATTTGTAATTAAATACTTTCGTTTTGTACAATTTGATAAAAGTCTGACAGTAATATTTAGTGTTCCTTCAAGCATAAAAAGTCCTATATAAAATTTTCATAAAGATGCGACCAGCCATTGGGCTGATGTTTTAAATTACGGCCTTCGGCCTCATGAAAGTTGGAAACCCCTGATGTAGATGGAATTTTTTTCACGCTTGAAAACCCAACGTCAATCTCGATTTAAGGTTTTAATATAGAAGGTAGTTTTCCAAGGTTCTGGATTAGGATAATGAGGATAGAATTGAGCAGATTGTCACAGATCTAGTTTTGAGGTTAGAAGATTTGCACGTAAACCGCATAACAAACCTTTTCAGGTTTACATTAAAAGGTTTTTGCTGAGTGAAAATGGACATTATTTTGATATTTGGGATTAATTTTGAATTACCCTGTATTTAACGTTTGCACTCTTTGAAAATTCTTAAGTGTTACAGTGACAACCCTAATTCCTCAAACTGGAGAAAGAAGTTTATCATGAGAACGTAAAAGGTATCCAGGGTTAAAATATAAGTTATGTAGGAAAAAAAACTCACCCTTTTCTTCATATGCACTTTAGATGGATTTCCAGCCAAATATTTTCATTGTCTCGTCTCCAGATAAACCCAAACATCTAGCCGAATATTTCCACCATCATTATTGTAGTCGCATCTCCAAATAGAGTAGGTCTTTACATGCATTTAGGCAAACGATTCCACCATCATCATTGTAGTCGCATCTCCAGATATATTCTCCATAAAACCACATCCATTTTCCATGTAACCTGGATGAAAATCTGTAAGAGATTGTGATATTACTTTAAAAAACTAAAAATACTTAAAAACGTCTTAAAGAGAGATCAACATTTTCAACTGGTCAAAAGATTGATTCTTCTAAATCTATGTAATTAGTATAAAAATACAAAAATCAGAACTTTTCGAACATTTGAAAACCTAAAAAAATTTGCACTAATATTAATCTTCAATAAAGTTTATTTTATATATATATATATATTTTTTAAGAAGTCTTAGCATTACCACCACAATTATTGCCAAAAAATTTTCAAATTGTTTCTTATTGTTGGCTTGCATCGCACTAGAGCTGCACAATTTGCTAGTGGCGACGGTCTGGGAAACATACCCGATTAGGATCCAAAGACATGCAATCTCAAATTTTTGGATGGCTCTGCTTCGGTAGCCCGACGACCAGCGCGAAGTCTTGCACTTCTCGGTAGAACAGTTTGACGAGGACTTTTTTGTTCCATTGGAAACAGTGTCTTGACGATCAGTTCACCGTGGGACTTTATAATTTTTAAAATATATTTTGATACATTAATTCGAAGCACGAAGTTATTATTAATCTTTTTGGAACTGAACGCCTGCAATTACCTGAATTTAAAAACGATACATGACGTAAAATAGACAAATAACCAGAGTTCAAAATAATGGCAGAAATGAGATTTGGAAAGTCGTAAGGGAGACAATATTTCTAGAAATTCGATTAATGAAGCTTAAATTGCCTTTAGTTTTTAATTATAAAAAAGTAGCAAGCTTTGGATAGAGTAGGATAATTTTTTTTATTGTGTATTTCCTTGCATTTTGGTCACAAATACAAAATGCGCTAGACTTGCATGGCATAAAATTGTCTTTCATTGTAATTAAAATTCCCGACCTACGAAGAGCCTGGCAAACTTAATTATTGTATGAAAAGTAATACAGTTTAATAATTAAACTTGAAAATAGAGAAATAATTAAACATGAAAAAAAAGCTTTAAGTTAAAAATTTGAAATGAGTCTTTGAAATGCTTGGCAGAAGAAATGTTACAACACTAAATGAGAAGTAGTAAACAATGACATTACCTACAGTGTCAAACAAAATGAAACTACCAAGAGTGGTGGATAAATTGTAAAACAGATTCCTAGCAAAAAAATGACTATTGCATTTAGAAGGTCCGTATGTGCTGTATACGAAACTAATGGTTGCTGGTTATTAATACTACAAAAACTTAGATTTAGGAATACTATTTAACAATACTGCGATCACAGCAACAAGGGAAAAATTTTTTAAAAGTTAAATGAACTTTCCTTTCATAAAAAAGCATTGAAGTAAATAAAATAAGACTAAAAATTTATATAAAATATTGATTCGGAGTAATAGGTTAAAATATTAGGATATAAAGTTTTTTAAGAAAAAAATATTTTGCAAATAAATTATTTAACCTTACGTTTTAAAAAAAATCAAAAGTTAGAAAATAAGAAATTAGCATCGATTTTCTCTTTAGAATTTTTGCAAAAACATTTTCGTATGGAATGATAAAATTTGAAAAAATTATGAAACTGTAACATAAAATTCAGTAAAATTGATAACGTATCTCAAACGCTTTCAAGGATTCTAAAAATTAAGTATTATAGCTACTTCATATTACTAAATCCTGAAATACGATGCACATTTCAACGCTAGCGATTAATATTAGGTTTAAATATTTCAAGCACAACAAAGCGTTTAGGTGAGTTTACCTTGGGAAACAATAAAGTGCTACGTGTAACTATTTATTGACTACTTATTTTACTCTTGTTGAACTATTAGAAAACTAAACGGGAATACATTAAACATCTTTATAAGTATAAGCAAGCAAAATTTGGTAATACAAACTCCGTCTGGTTAATTTAAAAATTACAAGGCGCAATTATTGATACATTAAAATAAATAAGTAAACTTACTTGATAGAATCAAACTTCATAATTTCAGGGCCCACAAACTTCAACTCATAGACAAATTAATTAGTTATGTTTGTAACACCGAAAAATCAACGCGTGGGCGATGAAAAAGTAAATAATGCACTCTTATATAGGTTAAAAGAAAACTGCGTGAAATTACTTCCGGTTGCTGGGTTTTGCTTAATTAGTGAAATTTCACATGGACAGAGTCTCTTTATACAGTTTTCAATGATCAATATATTTTGAAAATATCACAGAAACAAATATGAAAGCATAAAACTTTATAAATTTAAAAAAGTATAGCTGCTGAATCACCCTTTCAAAACTAGCGTAGTTTTAATTTCCAAAAACCTTTGACACGTTAAGAAACTATTTACTAACCAATTAATCAACAAATTATAGAAATTGAATAAGTGAATTACTCACTTAACGTTAATCACCCTAACGGAATTTAAATCATTTTTTACTAACCATTTAATATACAAACATTAGAATTCATTATTTTGGTATAAACTAATACACAAGTAAATTTATCAATACCAAATTTTACAAGTCAAACCGAAAAAGAGAACTTTAAACCTATTTAAAAAATTCTAATAATTTAAACATAATGTAAAAGAAACAAACTTTGCTGGCAGTTCTTAGAAAGTTAAATTTGTCAAATTAAAGACTTCTCAACTGAGCAAAAATATTTTAAAGTTTGGGTTGAGACTAAAATTTACCAGTGTTTGAAACTAAAGAAAAATGCCGATTAATTGTTTGAACTTTGGAATTTAATTGTATGGAATTTATGAATGTTTATAAGCTTGATAAAGAGGATATTGAAAATTGAAAATTTTGCTCAAGGACTTCAAATAATTTTAAATTTAGTACGAATAATTAAGTTCTAGATGTGACTATTAGCTCTTTATTTTTATCTTAAATTATTAAAATGAAACTTCATAAATCTAATTTATACTGAGGAAATTTTATCATAAAAACGTAAAGGTATCCAGGGTTAAAATATAAGTTATGTAGGAAAAAACTCACCATTTTCTTCATATACACTTTAGATGCATATCCAGCCAAATATTTTCATTGTCTCGTCTCCAGATAAAAATACACATCTAGCCGAATATTTCCAGTCATTATTGTAGTCGCATCTCCAAATAGAGTAGGTGTTTCCATGCATTTAGGCAAACGATTCCACCATCAATATTGTAGTCGCATCTCCAGATATATTCTCCATAAAGCCACAAGTATTTCCCATGTAGTCTGAATGAATATCTGTAAGAGATTGTGATATTACTTGAAAAAATTAAAAATACTTAAAAACGTCTTAAAGAGAGATCAACATTTTCAACTGGTCAAAAGTTTTGAGTTTTCCAAATCTACGTAATTAGAATAAAAATGCAAAAATCAGAACTTTTCGAACATTTGAAAAAACTAAAACATTTGCTCTGATATTAAACTTCAATAAAGTTTTAAAAAAAATTTTAGTCCTTCCAGCATTACCCCCACAATTATTGCCAAAAAGTTTTCAAATTGTTTCTTGTTGGTTTACGTCGTACTAGAGTTGTAGACTATTGGTAACTGGTCTGGGACACATCCTTGAGGAAGATCCAAAGAAATGTCATCACAATTTTGATCCTCCGCAGAGGGGATAGCTCCCCTGCTCGATAGCCAGCCAACTTGCATACAAAGACTAGCACTTTTCGGTAGAACAGTTTAACGAGGACCGATACCGCACACTGCCTCTTTGCAGGCCGATCAAAGTGGTCACCCACCCGCACACTGACCGCAACAATTAATGCTCGACTTCAGTGTTCTATTGGGAATAATGTCTTGACGATGAGTCCACTTCGGGACTTATTCATGATTTGTGCAACATGTTTTGATGCATTTATGAGAAGCGCAACGTTATTAATCTGTTTCAGAAATGAACGCTACAAGTACCTGCATTTAAAATGAAACATTGCGTAAAATAAACTACCCGAGTTCGAAATAGCAGAAGTGAAAGTTTTATTTGGAAACTCACAAGGGTGATAATATATTTCTAGAAATTCGATTAATTAAACTTAGAAATTGTGTTTACTTTTTAATTGTTAAAAAATTTAGCAGTCTTTGTATAATGTAGGATACTTTTATGGTGTATTTTTTTGTATTCTGGTCACAAAAAACAAATTTACTGGACTTACGATATGCATGGCATAAAATTGACCAAAAGGTAAATTTAATTTTCTTAAAGTCTTTATTATAATTAAGATTTCCAACCAACGAAAGTAAATACAAAAATAAGTTTACATAAATAAATGCTTTGTACAGACATACAAAGAAATCAAAATCCTAAAAGTTTCAGCAATAAAACTGTTCCTAAAGTTTTTCAATATAGTGGAACTGGGTTTTAAGAGGTTTTTTAAGTTGTGTAATAATTTGTGTTTTTTTCATAGAGACTAAACCCTATATTCTGTTTCGTGTTTATAATCAATACTAAGTCTCAAACCTGTTCATTTATATAAAAATGTCAAACTATACACTTATAAAATCCATTAAGGTATCAAAATACACAGAGTGGTTAAAATTGTATACCATATTCACATTTTAATATTCAGGATTGGCTAGGAGCCTGCAAACTTAACGCAAAGTAGTACAGTTTGATAAATAACTAAACTTTAAAAATAACTTGAAAATAAAA